GTCTATTCTGTTCTTTATTTAACATTTTGCACCTTGAATGGATGTGGAAATCATTGTTTCTTTCCTCCTCTGGAATCATCTTAAGAATATGTTGGGTTGTCGAGTGATAGGTTTCTTACGAACATCTATTGTGATGGGCTCTCAAGGAACCTTTTCAAAAATTAAATACTAAGATATAAAAACAGAATTGTTTTATTGACCATTTTCACAAGCTGGAAATATAAATAATTAGCAACTTCAAGAGTTTCCTTGTTTGGTTGAAGTTTCATTCGGTTCAATTTCCACTAAACGTCAAATGCGAGTCACGTCCTTTATCTTTCATATTTGACAAATTGATACCCACGTTGCACCTGTAAATTTCACTAGAAAATAAATAAATTAGTTTGTGTTGCTACATTATTGAAAGTTGATTTTTCTCCTAATTAATTTATACTATACATACTCAAAGATTTTAAAGATAGTTTCGCCATTTTTTTCTAGAGTGGACAAATCAAATACTCCCAAGGTAGTGAAGGTACATAGGAAATCACTTTCTTTCACCTCCTCTAACATTTGACAAATCTAATATTCGGTCTAGTTAAGCCTTAACTAAGTTGAAGTGTGCAATGTTTAACTTATCCTCCTTTCTGTATGCTCCGAGATATTAATGATAGTTCAAATCATGATAATGTTTTTGTCATGATAATAATACAATACTTACGAGAGTAAAGTGGAACAACGCTCAAACACAATTAGGAATTGACGGGAATGAATGAGTATCGACTCACTGTATTTGTAGGGTGGATGTGATCCTCCGTCAATGCCTAATAACAACAAATTTATGCTAAATACATAATCTTTTTGAAGAAATTTATAATAGTAATTACTTAATCATACTAACTAACCTAAAGAGTAAAAGGGGATAATTAATAAATAGAATTAATGAAAAATAATGTCATTTAACTGAATAATACTTGCCACAATATTTAACTAAAAAAACTTTGTGCCACAGAATCACTGGACAATCTCGATAACTCTTTATTTATTAGTAACAGTAATTAATTAAACACA